TCAATCAAGCCGAGGAGGCTATCAAGGTGGCCTAGGTCATGGAGGTGGTCAAGGACGTGGACGTGGAAATTTTAATTTCACCGGAAAATATAAAACACGTGACAAATCAAAGGTCAAGTGTTTTAAGTGTAACAAATTCGGGCATTACAAATCCGAATGTAAAGTAAAGGTGGCGTACGAGCAAGAACAACAAGCACATGCCATTGATGCCGAGGAAAATGTGGTGCTAGCGTGCAAGAAGGATGACTCAAGCATCGTGGACAACAACATCTGGTACCTTGATACTGGGTGTAGTAATCATATGTCTGGCCGAAAGGAGTTATTCTCAAAATTGGACGAGACGGTTCGTGGTGAAGTTAATTTTGGGAATAAATCCAAAGTTCTCGTAATGGGCAAAGGTAACATTACTATCAAGTCAAAAGATGATACTAATGTTACTGTTGCAGATGTTTTCTTTGTACCGACACTTTTTTGGAAATTGTTAAGTGTTGGACAACTTTCCGAAAGAGGCCATAAAGTCCATATTGAAAATGGAGTTTGCACCATCAAAGGTGTGAATGATAAGTTGATTACGATGGTGCAAATGACGAAGAACCGAATGTTCCCTTTGACTCTTCAGACGAAGAATCTTTTGAGTTTTCAAGCAATGATGAAAAATACAAATTGGTTGTGGCATCTTTGATTTGGTCATCTAAATTTTCGTGGACTAAAATTACTAGTCCAGAAAAAGATGGTGACCGGCATGCCTCTGATTGACAGTCCAGATTGACCATGCGAAGGATGTCTTGTTGGAAAACAACATCGAGAATCCTTTCCAGTTGGAAAAGTCAGAAGAGCAAAACAACCATTGGAGTTGGTACATACAGACATCTGTGGCCCTGTTGAGGTGGAATCAGTCGGACAAAAAAGGTACACGTTAATTTTTGTGGATAATTTTACTAGAAAAACATGGGTATATTTTCTGAGAGAAAAATCCGAAGCTTTTGGCAAATTTAAAGAATTTAAAGTCTATGTTGAAAAGCATAGTGACTTTATTTTAAAGACGTTGAGATCAGATAGAGGGGGAGAATTCACTTCGAATGAATTTGACAAATACTGTAAATTTCATGGAGTGAAACGTCAATTGACTGCCAACTATACTCCTCAACAAAATGGTATAGCAGAAAGAAAGAACAGGACAATTTTTGAAATGGCAAGAAATATGCTAAAGGCTAAAAATTTACCCAAGAAGTTTTGGACAGAAGCCGTTTCGTGTGCTGTATTTGTGCTAAACAGGTGTCCAACAAGGAGTGTTCTTGGAAGAACTCCAGAAGAGGCTTGGAGTGGCAACAAGCCAGATGTTTCGTTCCTACAAGTATTTGGGTGCGTGGCATATCCCCATATACCAGATGAACGGAGGAAAAAGTTGGATGAGAAAAGCCAGAAGTGCATCTTCATCGGCTATAGTGACATGACTAAGGGTTATAAGCTGTATAATCCAGTCACTGAGAAGGTAGTCATCAGTAGGGATGTCCAGTTTTTTGAAGATGAAGCCTATGACTGGAACCAGAAGATTGACCAGAAAAGCATCACCATCGAAGACGAACCATTGGTGGGAGAGACAGAAAAATCTTCAACTGAAGATCCATCATCTTTGCCTGGTAGTTCATTTTCTTCACCAAGAGCAGTTTCAGAACCACCGATACGTCGTTCACAGCGATTGCGGGAGACGCCATCAAGATTCAAGGATTATATTGTCATAAGAGATGATGATAGTGATAGTGATGGAATCACTGATGAAACTATGATAAATTTTTGTTTATTTGCAGAATGTGACCCCGTGTCCTATGATGATGCAGCAGCAGATGAGAAGTGGATCCTAGCAATGGATGAAGAAATCCACTCCATTGAAAAGAATGACACATGGGAGTTAACTTCTTTACCACCTGGTAAGAAGCCCATTGGTGTCAAGTGGCTATATAAGACGAAGTACAAGCCTGACGGTCAAGTGGACCGACATAAAGCCAGGTTGGTTGTAAAAGGCTACAAACAAAAGCCAGGTATTGATTATTTTGAAGTATTTGCACCAGTGGCTCAAATGGATACCATTCAGATGATCTTAGCACTCGCAACTTAGAATCGTTGGAAGATCCATCAAATGGATGTGAAATCAGCATTTCTCAATGGTGTTCTTGAAGAGGAAGTCTATGTGGAGCAACCGTAGGGTTATGAGAAGAAAGGGCATGAAAATCAAGTTTACAAACTAAAAAAGGCATTATATGGGCTAAAACAGGCACCTCGAGCGTGGTACACGAGGATTGACACTTACCTATTAGAGCATGATTTTCAAAAGTGTCTGTATGAGCATACACTGTATATCAAGTCAAATACTAATGGTGACATAATAATTGTGTGCCTTTATGTTGATGACTTGATATTTACAGGACCGTCCAAAGATGTTTCTTGAATTCGGGAGGCTATGACTAGCCATTTCGAGATACATGATTTAGGATTGATGTCCTATTTTTTAGGCCTTGAAGTGAAGTAAACAAATGATGGCATATTTATTTCACAACAGAAATATGCTAATGATATTTTGAAGCGATTGAAGATGGAATCACTCAAACCAATACGAACTCCCGTAGCGAACGATTGGAGCTAAAGAAAGAAGGAGCCGGTGAACTAGTAAATCCCACTTATTTTAAAAGCATTGTTGGCAGTTTAAGATATTTGGCTTCTACTAGGCCAGATATTACTTATGGCGTGGGAATTATTAGTTGGTTTATGGAGAAACCACACCAATCACATTTGCAGGCAGCAAAAAGAATTTTACGGTATGTCAGTGGAACTCGTAATCATGGAATTTTATATTCTTATACCGATAATTTCAGTTTGGTGGGGTACACAGATAGTGATTGGGTAGGTGATATTGAGACTCGAAAGAGTACTTCTGGAAATGCTTTCTTTCTTGGATCAAGAGTAATTTCTTGGTCCTCGAAAAAACAACAAGTCGTTGCACTTTCGACAGCTGAAGCAGAATACATAGCGTTATCTTCAGCGGCATGTCAAGCAATATGGCTTCGTAGGATGTTGTGTGAATTAATGCATGAACAGACAGGTCCTACCAAAATATTGTGTGATAATAAATCAGCTATGGCTTTAGCCAAGAATCCAGTTTTTCATGGCAGGAGCAAACACATCGACATCAAGTATCACTATATTCGTGATAGAGTCAAAGATGGCGAGATCGAACTTAATTTCTGTAGGTCAGAAGATCAGATTGCAAATATTTTGACGAAACCATTGAACACGGAGACGTTCAAAAAATTAAAGATGATGCTCGGTGTTGTTGAATTCCAAAATCAATTTTAAGGTGATATTTGTTGGAGGAACATAAAATTGATTATTGGTGTGCTTGAGCACGTCGGTTACTGGAAGCTACAAGCGTTAAAGAAGAGTCATAAAGACTTCAACGTGGCTTCGTTTTTCTTCAACGGATTAAGATGTTTTATTGTCTTTCTTAATGATTGTGGATTGTTATGTTTTCTTTATTAAATGTAATCATTGGAGTTTGTGAACTTCAATTCCTATATAAAGGGATGAAGTCGTGAGTTGTAAATCAAGCCAAACACGAAGCCACAAAGACAAAGCATTCTAAATAAAAAGTTCTCCCTCCAATAATTATTTGTGCTCTTATTCCAAGTTTCCAAAGTTTATTATTATTCTTTTGGTTCCAACAATATTTGGCTTCACGCACAAGATGATGATTGTCTCTCCCGACATCAATCTTTGAATAGGAGATGTTGTGATTCAAACACGAGATTTATGGTTTTTACATTAAGCGTGCACTCACTGAGCCAATTTCTCGAGGATAGAGAAAAGCAATTCATTCACGCGAAAAAGACATGTATTTGTACATTTAAAGCATTTTGAGGTTTGTGATAGTTCACAACATGCCTAGCTACGTAAAATATCGTGCTCCTAATTAAACTGCTATGGGTACGAGTGTTTTTCCCGCGAATCATGGTGAACATGTGCATGATCACGCCACAGGACTTACCAATTGAGTTTTGAGACAGAACACTAAACATAAGTTGAAAAAATATCATCGTTCATACAACATAATATAAACTCACACATGTGTAAGTACTTATTTTTTGTTGGGTTGTAACTAAAAAAACTAGTGCTCCAACCCTTTTTTGGTGGAAGGGAAGGGGGGCATAAAGTCTATAACTCCTACTCTGTGGTCGCTTTCTCAAGGATTACATCACATACCTACACGTTCTTTTACACATTCTCTTCTTGTGTTCTTTACTGATTGGACTTCCCTCTTCTAGCCCGAAACATGATGCCAAACCGCAAGTGAATAAGCCCAGTGGCCCCATTCTGGGCCTCTTCTCAGGTGCTGGATATTCTTGCTCTGGGGCCCAAATAGAGAGTTCTTGCCACCCCCCTGATACGCCTAGGAGTCAAATTCGGGTATGTATGAAAGATCGGGTCTTATACATATGTACATAATGTACGAGTACAATACGATCCAATACAAGCATACCATCCGTTACTAATAGAGGGCTTAGAGAGTTAACTTAGTCTCGAAGTTTTTTCTGAGCCTATCTTTCGCACTAACCAAGTCCTTTCGCATGAACTTTGGCGATTACATGATTAACCTCATACTTTACACGAAGTTTCTCTCATGTATGTAAAGTGCTGTACCCGCACCGGCCTCATCAATTCCATGTGACTAAATGTACAGGTGCTCTTCTTACGATTACCATCTGTCAGATCAGATTGCTCAATAGAGTAGTCTCTTTTGCTTCACATGGTCGTGTCGTTTTTTATGGAAACAGTTGCTTCTTTTTGCGTATGCACTCGTGACAGAACCAGCTCCATCTATAAACTCAGAAGATATTAATGATGCATGTGCATTAACTGGCCACCCCCCATCCCATCACAGCCGGTCAAACTTTTGCCCGAAATTTCTCGTTTGCTGATACATCGGAAACTGAAAAGGTCGTCAACCATAAAAACAGAGGAAGGACCATTTGACCACTGCATTAAATGGGTCAAACATTACATGGTAACATAGACAGCTCTCACTTGGGGGAGGGTTAAGGTTTTTCATTCAACCACTCCCTCCAAACCCCATTGGAGCCAAAGCCAAGGACAAAAGTAACACAAAACACTTGCTTAGCCTGGAGAAAAAACAGAATGGTCATTAAAGTCGTGACCTTTTTGGACGAATCTATTAGTACACGGCGAATACTAGTAGTGGATGGTATTGGAATGAATGAGGTTTGAGCGTGAGTGGTTTAAGGGCACTTGGGACTGCCACGCTTGGTCTTCCAGTTGTTGTAGCAAGGGCACACTTGCTTGTTGCCGTAAAAGCCCGGTGGGACGCACAGGCACTTGGCGCAGCACTTGTTGCAGAAGAAGAGGCATGGCTTCTTGTACTGCGTCTGGTTGCATCGCCTCTGGCATTGGCCCGCGCACTCTGTCAAATTTCATCAAATGTATTCTGGTTAGTCCCCTTCAATCTCGTGAGCCACCCAGAAAGAGAGAGGAAATGTGGTGCTTGAAAGGTGCTTGCTTTGCGGTCTTTTGCACAAATGGGTGGATCTAGAGATAAAAGGTCATTGGGAAGTTGCTAAATGCCAATGTGCCTTCCGTGTGTTTGGTAAAACGTCTCAATGGCTTCCTCTCTTAGCAGTCCATGTGTTTGATAAAATGACCGAATGCCAAAAAAATTTTACTTTTTGCTACCTATGAAGTCTCTTTTCACAATCCAACCAAGGAAAAATTTCTTTTCACAAGCTTCCTAAACCGGATGAGAAACAAATCTACATGGTTTGAGCTTGAGATCAAGCGGAGATGCAGATCAAATAGGCTTGAAAAGAGTGAATCTTGCTACTTAGAATTTCTAGCTCAAGAGTTCAGATCCAACCCTCAGAGACTCGAAAGAATCTTTAAAAGAAAAGGAAAGACATTAAAAGGTTCAGTAACTTACGATAGCTCTTAAGACTTCCAGGTCCGTATGCCTGCAAAAAGAAAGTTCAAAAACCCTTGTCCCGATAAGGTACATTGTAAAAATTTCCAAATGCAAAATAGAGACACAAACAGAGGCCATCTACAGAGCAAAATGGTTTAGCAACTTACACTGTCAAGGCGGTACTGGGCTTCCTTTGCCATAACCTACAATAGATAGAGAGAACAAGCGCAAAGCACGTCAAACATTGTTTGAAGGGCTATGTCAGATTTGTCGAAGTGGGTCTGTGTAGAAACTAACCTGGGTCGCAACCATGGAAAATCCGAGCAGAGCAAGGAGCAGAACACAAGCAAGCTTAGTCGTCATGGCCATCTTCTCTAACGGCTAAAACAAGCCTCCCTTTTCACACAGAGACGCAGGCACAACAGCACAGAGAGATTAAAGAGAGGCTTGCTAGAGAGAAACGGCCCTTGTAGAGAGACTAGCTAGAGCGGCTTTGGATGCTCCGAGAGCTCTATGGTAGGGTGGGCTATAAATAGATGATCCAACCTCGAAGTGGGGCTCTGTGCCTGCCTAACAAAAACCCCCCCAATTTACTTTTTTAACTGTTTCCTCTGCTAGACTTTTAATGGAACAGCTTGTACGATCTGCTATTTAAAAATGAAGTGGGGAAGAAAAAAACCCCATCTTGGGAGTATATTCCCACGTTACGCATTGGACTAAAAATGATTGAGATCTATCCAAATTTTCCAATCATGTTGCCTCATGTGCCCGGTTAACACGCCAGTTCTCACTCTCGATCTTAATGCTGTACCGAATGGGTACGGTCTCTCTCACCCGCTCAGCCTCAGATCTATCCCTGGTACATTCACACACGCATTGTAAAACTGATTGAGATCTGTCGTGTGTTAGAGATATTAAGATATCTTAAACTTCATGAAATGATCTATCCATCGTACATTCACACGTGCATTGTGTTACTGATTAGGATCCATCATGTGTTAAAGATGTTTAAATATCTTAGACTTTATTTAAGGAAATCAAATTAGATATGCATAGTGAAAAGAGATATCTATCTCTAGCATCTTGTCTGGGGAAAGAGAATGCAAACAGTTACAGTGGTTAGTTTTGTTGGTTGCGCCTCTGTAATATTTATTACACCGCTCCATTTTTTGCCTGTCCTCCTCCACTCGTTCAGACCTAACTCGCTCTGGGAAAAAACGAGAGTAATTCCCCCCAAACAAATCACTGGAACATTATGCGAGCAAATAATGGAGGAGAGAGCCGAAGGCGCCGGTGGGAGCGCAGGGAGGTAACATGGGGAGTTAGTTAAGACCGGTCTATTATAATGGGGAATTGGATGGCGACCGTTGATCACGTGGGCCCCACGAGATCGAACGACTGTCACCCATGGGGATCCACTGAGCTCGGGTCGGAGGTGTTCCCAAAGGGTAGCGGGTGTGTCCACCCCAAGGACAGTTTTAGTCGGTCCTTCTGGTTTTTATGGGGGATGATAAAGAAGTGAAACATCATATGGATCCCATTCCCTGATGGAAACGATCTGCTGCTGCTGTCGGGTGCTCACAGAAACATGGACCCGGGATCAGAACCGCAGGTAGAGGAGGAGAGGGGAGGTGGCGAGACGTGGGAGCGGGTGCATGATGGCTGGGGGCGACAGGGGATAGGTTGCCCATTAAAGTATGAGAAGCGAAGCGGTGGACAAGTCGTAGGAGGAAGGAGGAGGAGGTGAGCGACAATAATTGAGAAGAGAGAGGGGCCATGTGAAGGGGAGAAAGAGGAGGATCTGCACGCTGCACATGTGACCACCTATAGGGAAAGCTGCGTCCAATCCAAGACAGCCATGCGCATCCCCGCTCTCTCTCTCTCTCTCTCTCTCTCTCTCTCTCTCTCTCTCTCTCTACTTTCTCTCTCTATATATCTTGGGTTGAGGGAAAAGAGAAAATATTAGGTGATCCGGGACCTCCACGTCAGCGTGGTCCCGGACCAATCATGAAACGCCACGTGGATATGTGGGGGCCCATTCGACTGAGGTGGAATTTTTGCACAAAAATTAATTTATTTCTCTCTCCTTAGGCCTGCAGGGCTAGCCCCTCACCTCTTTTCTCTCCTCTCTCCTCTCTTTCGTTCTTTCCTACTCATTATCAAAAGAAAACCAACGCATTTCCTCTCTCCAGGCTTTCAAATTATTTTGAATTTGTAATTTCGCTCTCAAATTTCACTCTCGGCTTCGGCGTTCCTGGTTGCTCCGGCCCTTGCTCCGTGGCGTTGTTGCTGCTTCGGCGTTCCTTGCTCCTCGCCGTCGCCGACGAAGCACGTTAAGCCACCCCTGCTCCAACGCTCGCTCCGGCGCTCGTTCGAAAAAATCCGACGCTCGCTCGCTCGCTCTCTGCTCCAGGAGCCACTCCCTCCCTCTCGCTCGCTCCCAAGAGCCCCGTCGGTCGCATCCCGAGCTCAGATCCGCCTCCGCCATGGCATTTTGGGTTTAACACATAACTGAGCTGAGCGTTTTCCTTCTCGTGTGTTCATTTTCTCCCCGGCGGCAGATGAGACGAAGTCTAGGTGAAATGGAAGCGCATGGACTTGGGAACTTTCATTTGTATTTGCAGTTTAGTCTCGTTTTTCAAGAAAATAGTGTATCGTTTGTTCTACTTGGGTTTATGAGGGTGGTGTTTGTAACCTACCTATATGTTGGATGTGCCGGAGTGTAACCGGTTCTCTTCAGTTGTTTTTTTGTCGAAATTTTCCTTCAATTTTTTTTTTTGGTCGAAAAGTTCTCCTTCAGTTTAGGTAGGCTGTACATTGTTTGTTTTTTAATCAAGCATTATCACTGTTAACTTGTGTTTGTTTTGCTTTGCTTCATTGCCCTTCAGTGTCCGACAATCGTTCTTGGTGCGCTGTCCTCTGCAAGGCAGCCCCTGGATGTGCCAAATCTCGGACCCTTTGCTAGCTTCGAATGTTTCCAAGGAACAGCAAGAAAAACATAGAAAAGCTTTTCCAACTGGCTCATCAGTGCACTTCTCCAGATCTAGCAAACTGACCACACATAGATGAGGTCTTGGCTGCCCTTGTAAAACTAAAAGGCTAAGCTAAAACTGAAAAACTTTTGATGCTATGATATTTGGAAAGCATTGTAAAAAGCATGTTCACTCCTGCTGCTTCTTGTACTAGCAGAACCAATTATAAGCAGGATAAAGTTCACTGGCTCTTTTTGTCCCCTTTCTTCGTAAATTTTAGCGGGTTCAGTATGACGAAATAAAAGATCGCAACCCAGTCTTGAATAACTTTGACAGCCTAGTTAATTGCATTGGATATCCTTATAACATCAAAGAATCCAGTTGCTTGTCCCAAGCTTCCTTCAATATTAAAGATCAAACTTGAAAATAAGATGGCAATGACAAGTAGAACAAATCTTGACAAGAGAAAAAAGCCCAGAAACAAGAACTGCGCAAATGTATCTTCTCCTTGCATTAAACTTAGTCATTCTTCTCCTTCTCTCTTCAAAGTATCACAATCCGACGAACAAGAGCACGACATAAACCATCAAAAGAAACTGAGAATTCCTCGCAAAAAAACTAAAATGATCATGAAGAACAACCTCAAACTATTACATAATTACACGACGGGATTTTCCAAATCTCAGGCCCTCTGCTCGGGAAATCTAAGAGAATAATGCAAAAGGAGGGCGGAGGCTGAGGCGACGTGCCGGAGGCGGATATGAGCTCGAGACCCGGCAGCGACAATCGGCGGGGGATGGCGGAGGCGGAGCTGACGTGCCGGAGGCGCCGAATCTGGACTCCGCAGTCGGATATGAGCACGGGATGCCATCGACGAGGGCTCTTCGAAGCGACAAAGAGGGGGTGGCTCTGGAGGCAACGGCGGATGCAGAGGCGGAGGCGCCGTGCCGGAGGCGCTGGGTCTGGGCTCGGGATGCGGCCGCGGGGCTCTTGTTAGCGAGAGAGGGAGAGAGAGAGAGAGAGAGAGAGAGGGGGAGAGAGTATTTTGGAAAAAAAGAGAGCGGCACTTCTATTTCTCAGAAGATGCAGAAGAGAGAGGAGAGAGAGTGTCATATAATTGAAGAGAGAGTGAGAGGGCTTTCGCCTTTCGTGCGAACGAAGGGACAAGAAGGCCAGCAATTAATGAAGAGAGAGAAAAGAGGCAAAAATTTGAAGAGAGGAGCAATTAGCGTGCAGGGCTAATGGCTAATGAGAGAGAAAGAATATTAATTTTTTGTGCAAAAAGTTCTTCTTAACGAGTCGGCCCCACAAGCGCCACGTGGACCACGTGGCGCTTCATGAGTGGTCCGGGACCACGCTGACGTGGAGATCCCGGACCACCCAATATTTTCTCGAGGGAAAAAGGAAAAAGGAGAATGGAAAACTAGAAATTAGACATGCTGAGATTAATTCATGAAATCGATTTAGCATTATAGCATGTCCTCATCGTGAATTGAACATGGGGTCGCTTGTTTTAGAGAGTCGGTCACGTCACTCACTTTTGGGTTTTGGCACCGGTAGAAATATCCTCAAGAATAACGTATTCCACGAAAAACACCAAATGAATACACTTAAAATTAATTTTTTAATTATTAAAAAACTCAAATCGATATACCTGGTAAATTAATTTTCATTAAATTTTACCATCGAATTACTGAGTTCGATGACACACGACAATTAACGGGTGTACCATTTGGGGTACGGTTTATGATTTTTCATGATATTAATTCAATTTAACGGAAATTAACATATGGTAATTTGTTATAAATGTACCGATTTGGGGTTTTTTGTGATAAAAAAATTAGTTTTGAATAAATATGTCACATGTATACTAGTTTGGGATTTTTGATAGTCAAAGAATTAGTTTTGGGTAAATTTGTCACAGATGTACCGGTGTTGTGTTTTTCGTGATATTAACCCTTTATAGGACAAAAGCTACCGAAAATCCTTGACTATGCTCACCGTGACACATTTATCATCATTTTTTTTGTAATACCAAAAATCCCAAACTTGTACATGTGTGACACATTTACTCTCCATCAAAGTTTCGTTAATAAATATTGTTAAAAAAATCTGCCTACATTGATGTTTGTTGATATAAAACGACAGTTTTTTTGATGAAAAATCATCCGACGAAGCCCTAATTACATATTAATAAAAAAATTATGGTAAATGTGTCATATCGGGCACGATTTGGGATTTTTGATATTATAAAAGAAAAATCACGATAAGTGTCTAATGGTGCGCATAGTTTGAGATTTGTTATGATTTTTTTTTTCCTTTTGATTAAATTTATGGTGTTGGACTATACATGGTAGGGTGAATATACGGTAATAAAATGTAGTATTTTCTTTATTTGATTGTTTAAAACCTAATAAACACCAAGATTGAAAGAGTTGGGCCCAGCACGGGTCCCACTAGGTCCCTTCCCCTCCCTCGAAACTAAGGGTGACCGGTTTCATGTCCACGTTCCTTATAGGTTCCACTTGGAACCTGAAGCCTAT